CAGTACTTAACATTATCTGTTTATTGGCTGTTTCGCACGGAACTGTCGTCGTGTTATGGCATGACAGGTATGACTTGCAAAGTACCTCGTGGTTTTCCGAACGCCACTGGTCCAATACATTTTGCTCTTCTCTACGTCATCTGATTGATTTACTTTTTAACCTTTGCTTGTAGGATTTCTTAAGGAGATTTGAGGCTTCAGTAAAGTACAACCCACAAAGCGATGGGATCCATTTGATATCATACAGACTGGTATGTATTCATCACATGACGAAACTGGAATGTTCGGACCTCGTGTTGCATGTTTTATCCCTCACTGTACACAACGAACTGATGCGGGAAGACTGCATCTCAACCACCGCCAGGTTTAATAACTGCTGAATCAAGTACCTTTTTATCTACATTCGGGTGACCAATAACAAGGTTCGTCGTCGTGTGTTGGGCGCTGACACTAGTTCTCTAAAAGAAGTAATCCATCCACACCACCTCCGACAGGTCGGTCACGTTTTGTGTATGCCTGTCCATCCTGTACCTCTCCATTCTTTTCATGTGCTGAGCAAGGCTATAGAAGCGACGAGTCGGTCAGACCTTGACCTGGTGCTTATGTATGAAGAAGTTAGCTTCGGCGGTGCGCCCCGCCTTCCAGGTTGCAGTCCAAGGGTTAAGCACTGTTGTTAACCGGATATACTGAGAAATACAGCTTACAATAGAACTCGGTAGCGGGAATACTTGACGGTTTGTTTGTTGAAATTCTGAGCTTCAATACTGTCAGCAATGTGTACAATGCAAATAACGTAAAGGTTGTCTTGTTGAATCGCTTATCAGTTGAGGTTGCTCGCTGTGGTATGTCCTTTACACCCTATAAGTGCAAGGTGTTGCTGTAGCAACGGTAGGCACCTGTTCCTACAATTTCGTTGGTATTGACACCTTGTAGGTAGGTGAGAGCTTTGTCTATGTTGGAGCTGCATAACGGCTGGNGTCGAGAAGACCGCCCAACTCGTAATCAAAGCAGAGTTATCGTCTGCTATTCTGCAATATATCCCTTTCACTAAAATGGCGTGCGTATTAGATGATGACGCCCCTACGCACTACAGCTTCGAAACCTGGCCTCTCCTAGCAGGTCATGTCCAACGATTTTCTGCCTGTCTATGCCACATCACCCGCATGTGGTGGGAGCATTACGTGATCAGGTTAGACGATTTGTGTTAGAGTAGTCTATCATTGCGCGAAACTCTTCACTGCATCGTCAGAGAACACCTAACGCTACCTATCAATGGTCGATCAAAAACGATATCGAATTTAATGCATCAAAATGTACGGTCGTATCCCTTCACTACAAAACTCGGTTTCCGTACTTCCTGGGAGATCAACAATTTCCGTATGTCTCGAATGAGAAGGATCTCGGTGTCATTGTCCAAGACGACCCTAGTTCTTTAAACTTCTCCAGGGCTTCGTTCACCGCTGTAAGGCATGTTGGTTTGCTAAAGCAAGTATTTGGCGAATTTAAGCCTATGCTGTTTCCACAGTTATTATCAACTTACGTTCGGTCATATAAAGAGTATGCAATTCAAGCTTGGAATTGATGGCTGCAATGCGATCGGAAGATTCTGGAACGTCCACAAAGAATGACCACTAAAATGGTCAAGGGACAGCATTCCAAGATTTACTTGGAAAGACTGGAATCGCTACAACTGTACTTCATACCGTATCGCCGAATTCGAAAAGACTGTAGAATCCTGATCACTCATGTCGTTCACTCTTTGCCTTGTCGTCCAACACTCACCTGAAGGGATACATTAAAATTAGTGCTCAAAAAATGCCGACGAATGCCAGCGTCATTCATTCGCCCTCAGAATGTGCATTACCTGGAATTCTCTACCACTTCACGTTGTTTCTGTGCCCACAATTGATTCCTTCAAGCCCCAACTGGATGAACCTTTAAAAGTCTTAAATTTCAACATCCGTAGCAGTGCACGAAACAAGGATAAATTTTGACATTGGGCAACTCTCTATAAACCATAAATCGATTCATCTGTGCTAAGCCCTATGGAACTAGAAAAGCAGCCGCCTTAATTATTTCCCTTAATAAAACGTTGACTTTGGCTGGAGCACGTCCTAGTAATGTCTGAACATCTGCTCTGCCATGCGCTATTTGCCGACGTTGACCTCGATTGGAAGAAAAGGTGAGATTGACTTGAAGGATTGAGAAAATCGTGTTTGGATCTGGCTTTCCAGCCAGGTTGTCGTTGATTAGCGACTGGGATATGGAATCGGACCGGGGGCAGTGGCGTGAATGAGCTCTTTCCTCTCGGCATTCACAAAAGTGAGAAGGTAAGAAGTTAAAAATGCGTGCATTGAACATGTAAGAATGTTTTTACCCACACAAACTGGCCTTTGTGTTGTTTTTGTCCTGCTCCTGTATTTCTCTTTCAAATTATGGTTATTTCCGCACCGTATCTGTAAGGATTGGAGAATGAAGAATATTGACAAATGAACCCAAACCGCTTTGGTTTACAACGTAGCTCCACTGTTTGGGTTCAATTTCCAATATTCCCTGTTCAGTTGTAACCAACAAATGTGGGCCTCAATAAGCAACGGTTTCCCGTCAATCTACCTACCTGTGACTGGCTAAACCACATTCTTCATGAAGTGGTGTTGGGTTATTGGTCTCACCGAATAATAATGGTGTCATTATCTGAAACCTGTGGGCTTTATGCTGTTCATTGTATCGACATGACTGTTGGTGGTGGATCGCTCCTAATCATAAAGCGTTCTGTTGATTCTTGTTTGGCCGCTGTTTTGCTCGTTCAGAGCATTTTTCATAGATGGATACAAATTACGCTAAAGGCTGCAGATATGTAACCCAATCATTCAACAATCACGGGACGCTGCTGCCACGTTATGAACCCTTCANCCTTCAATTGGTGTATTGTCTTATAAAGTGTTGCGTCGTTGAAGTTCTCAACAACTCTTCAGATGTTTGATGTCATCAATATGTTGCATACCTGAACGTCTCCGTATGCGTTCACTGAATTCTTTTTTTCCTAATAACTGCTCCTATTATTGATGTCATTTGAATAAATCTTTAACCGCACTATCATACGACGTCCTCCCATTCGTTTTCTGTGAGAATGACAGGAAGGGAAGAAGTTGCATTAGCTAAAGAAAATCATTGACCTGTTTTTACAGAAAATCACGGTCGTTATCCTCGTGTACGTGGACCGATGCACACCACTAACCGTTGGCAAGCCCCCGGGCGTCCCGAAAGGTCTCGTTTCGCCAGTGACTCTGCCAACCTCTTTACAGCCATGATGATGATGTCGACAGGTGCGGCGCGGTCTTCTGCACTAACATCTTCATTCAACCCAGCTGCTTTCGGTCAATTCCCGTTAATTCAAAGCACAGCGGCTCCTGGTACAACCGCTTCTGGACCTGGACTAATCCCAAATGTGTCCAAAACCGGACAGACTAACACAGGTGGTCCTTCCTCGGCACTGTTGTTCAATCCGTTCCCACTGACGCCCTCTTTAGTCGATCTCCCGGGTAAACCCTTCACCGGTGGATTGCGATGGGATGATTTTTCCCGTACTGATCGTACCCCGTCTCGTAAACAAGGTGGACCACCTCGACCACATCCACCTGTTTCGCGTACGCGTGAACCGCATCCGGAACCCTCCGCGCCGCCGCAGACCGAGGAGTCTAGTACATTTTCGAAAACGGATTCACCTACCGATGTGAGTTCTCATCTAAGATATTTTCACTCCAATTGGTCAACGAATAGCATTTCTGTAGCGTCTCATTGTTTCCCGTCGAAAGACCGAAGTTGTCCAGGCTAATAACTCTAGTGCGATTGCTTATAGTCTACTAACACTCATACTTTACCGTTTCAATCGGTATACATAAATAGATATATTAAAGCATTGAAAAATCCGAAAATGTTTTCTTAATGCGTCTGGTGCTGTGTGAAGAAAATAATATTACTACCGAATCCAACATGATCGCCCTCCCCCTTAGATGAAAAACTCTTTATTTATGCTATTTAATTCCGTGCAGGTTACACTAACAGTCATATATTTCCCTGTTGTACGCATGCACAGGTGCCCGTAGTCAATTCATCCGACCAACAAACATCACCCGAAGAAGCGGTAGATCGAAACTGAACCCAGCATCGTGCGCTCGCTCAGTACATGTGCCCAGGGACAGGCCTTTCTACTCAGTCGCATTCGAAACTGCGGTCTCCTGGTCCTGCTGCCATCCCGGTTTATCATCGGATGTAAAGTTCTCTACTGATGGAACGTCTGTGTTTCTTCTCTCCTTGTGAATAGAGCTGTGACACACCAAACATCATCCACAAAACCCTTCGCTATTTTTTGTGACGTGATCGACACACCGGCACACTGTGACCTCTCTCATGGAGCACCAGATGTAAAGGTGATAATAACAATCACAGCTATACACAATTGAAAAGTACATCTTTGCCAAAGGCAAATTTCTGGTTCGCTCAATCACGTGTGAACCCTTCATGACGCCCGACTACATTTAAAGTTCGATTCTCGTTGGCTTGATTGGCCTTAATTTGATAGTTCTTTGTAGCGTCGTCCGACATCTGTTTGGAGGTCCTTACTGTTCTGATAGCTCACCTCCTATTCTAAAGTCGAACATCTACTTCTATCCTCACTCATCCCCTGCCCACTACCAACAATTTGCCCAACTTTTTCACCTAAAAGTTCAATTTTCGCTATTACTTATGTTGTGCCTAGTGGCTTCCTCGATTAACCACTCTGTTTTCCCCCCGAATTTTTGCATGTGCGTGTAGCTGGGGTACAACGGGACCCCCCACGACCTGATTTAGGTGCTACTCGCTTTTGTATTTCTTTCATTGCCTTGATTAATTCCCTTTCAATCCTCTTTTTCTTCCCTTCGTTCTCCTCTTCTCACTTCTCAGCCGTGTGAGACACTAGTCCCCGAAACGCTACTTGCTTTTGCTCCTGTTGGCTGGCTTTGATCGCTTGCTTGTTTGGTCCACATACTCTTTGTCCTCATAATGTACGTATTTATGTACGCTCGTTCGATTCTGTTAGCTATATAATCGTTTCAATTGTTTGTTTGAACCATATGACCATAAATTAACGCTCAGTTTCGACCGCTAGTTTCCCTAAAGTTGTTCAATTGGAAAACTAGGATTACTCAGATGAAAATTCATTTATGAATTCGGCGTTTGCACTAGCTTGCACACTCGTTCTCACGCAAGTTGTCTAGATTCCTCGCTTTGCATAATGTGGTAGCAGGGTTCTGAACCGTCTTAGGATACAGATTCCTTTCCCCCTCGTGTGGTTGGAATGCATACTGTGTGCGATCGAACATGAACCTGAAGATAACTTGATTATTTGCGCCGCAGTATGATTTTCGCGCAGCCTTCTATAAAGTGGTTTCCACCCAATAATAAGGGTTTACTGTGATCAGTGGTTTTGTGGAAACTGTGCAATTCATTTTCTCAATCTTGACATCTTTGCCCGTGGTGGTAAGTGTACTTCCATTATTCTGTATCCGTTTGAGCAAAACTTGTAGCATCATCAAAAATTTTTTACTTGCAAAATGCAGCAGATCCAGTATGAATTAAGCACTTGGTACTATGCTAAAATTGCAAAGTTGTCGTCCTTTTGACTTCTAGTGTTAACAGTATCACATCTTACCGTTCCTCAAATTCCCCAGTAGACTGATCGATTCAAGTGAAGACATCTAATGTTTGCAGAGGGCTACTGAGAGTAGGGAAGTCGGTTTCATGAAGACCACGTTACTTTGGTGCTATAGACGTCAACTAGCATTTTTCGAGGGTGCGCCTCAGCCTTTGCACAAACACGTGCGAATGGTGGTATGTTGATCACCCTAGCCCTAGGCACCGTTTGTGTTCTAACACTACACCAATTTTGTGGCAAAAGGTGATTTAAGCCACATTATGGGGAGATTTGACTTAGTTCAACAACGCGTTCACGGTGGTCATCTGATAGATGTGACTGAATCATCGGTTAGATCTCGTTCTGCAACGGGAGGCTTGAACCCGGGTGGGGACTTGATTGATATTCTAAAGATCGGAATCTGTGACGATGCAAACCGTATCTTACGGAAACTGGTATTGGTTTCAAATGGTCAGCACATTGCTTGCTATTCGCGGACACCGTGTTTGACCGCGTGCACTCGTATACGAACGAACAGACGGATAATTTGAATAATGCTACGATCTTAGAGTTATTTTCTAATTAACTGAAAACTTCGGTGCATCGAGAATAAGTCTAATCTTTATGCAGGTTGCCTGATTTCGGTTCCGCAGTTCGTTTTCAGGAACTCATGCAACAGGACCTAGGTAATCACTTAACTGAAATCAACTAAATAAACACTTTCGAAGACAAATCGCTTTTTATTTGTACCGCTTCGAGAATGTCATCTGTTGGGTTTCTTCCATGTTACAAATCGCTGAATGGATGGAAAGAGCGACTACCTGGTCACCCCGGCTGCAAGCTTAACCCTCCGGGTCGACCATCGGATCAGACTCTAAATCAGCTAAGAAACGCTCGGAGTAATCAGTGGGATGTCCGACATGATTGCTTTACTATTCTCATGCCATTTTACGGAATTTGGAAACACTATGCGAAGATTGACTCTGCAGTCTGTTCTCACAACCCTAAGGAGTTCGCATCAGCTTCGTTTCACCTGCGAATTAATCGACGAACTGTCGGCACGCACACAACTCTCGAACGGCGTTAAGACACCTGTCACATCACCATCCGACTGTCTATGAAGAGTCGAGTGTATGCTGCAGCAGTTCGACCGGTGCATGATCAAAACACTTGTTACCGCATTGGTCTGTGTCCCGGTGTATTTCGCCACTCTGGATCGAAATATTAATCATCCCTGCTTTTTAGAAAGAATCTCACAATGACTGCAGGAACCGTTATTCGAACACCGCATTTCATGGGTCTGGTGGAAAAACCGGACAAGCAGTACTGAGGTTAGGCGCAGGGTCTTAGTTAACCTCAATCGTCCAATAGAACAAGTGGTTAACTTCCATAGACTACGGTGGTTCGGACATGTATTGCGCATGTCACCAACTAGGTTGCCGCGGCGCGCGATGTTTGCTGAGGCAAGTAGCGGATGGAAAAAGCTCAAGGGCGGTCAGACTAAGACTTGGCATGAGGGTACGGAAATCCTAACCAGGATACTGGGTCACATGCGTACCGTTAGGCCACTGTTGTCGGTTAGTTGCCACATCCGCGTCTGCAACCAAAACGTTCCAAATTCTGGAACCCTCACTCAGATTGCAGGAGATACCTATACCTAATCGCTTTGTGTATTTCTTCGTGCCTTATTTTTCACGTCATTTGTTGACATCTATGTGGTTTCCATCAACCTGGAACAGCGACTGCAAACAAGGTGCGGTGTGGTAGATGATGTCTGGGTTTGCGCAGTACTTTTTCCTAACCAGCTAAACCGACTAATCTGAATTCTATGTGATAACGAATTCTACACCGATTCATTACCAAATACTCCATGGCTTACCTCAGAGTTGCTTACATGCTCGCACCATCCGAAGTACGAAACATCGACAATCGAAGGCTTCTAGACGATTCACATCTTCCACGCGCAAATTTAAGGCCTAACAACATTAAAGCAGAACGAACTGCACAGTGTTGCGGTACACGCAACCCTTTAGTTGCAAGGAACTATCGCATCACGCTACAATTCGCTGCTTACCCTCACGCATAAACATTTATCTCAACTCAACTGTTCCCTATCTGGC